CTTACCTAGTCTCTTTTTGGGGTCTTCATACTGCTTTTTCTTGTTTGCTCAAAAGTGAAGATGATGTAATACGGAAATCTAATGTTTGGAAATAAAAAGCTGCTGTTACAGTTTTCAGGTGCTCCTCTTTTTTTTTTTTTTTTTTAATACACAGGCAAGTATAGCACCTGTGAGACCAGTTCTGAAAGTCAGAAGCCTTTTATTGGGGTGACTGCTTCTTACAGAGCCAATTTTATATTCATGGCTTTTTAATTCTTTACACCAAAGATTTTCTCAGGAGCTTACTGCATCTCTATCTACGTGTCAGAGGAGCAATCTTTTGTCCTGCTCAAAGCCCAGCATGCTGCTGCGTGAAAGAAATGTCTACATGTACTGTGACAGTCTGTCATGTCTGCTGGCTTTTTAGTATAGGGTCATCTTTGACATCTTACTCTCCAAATAAATAATCAAAAATCTATCATTAGACACCAAAGTCTCCTGCAAATCAGCAGCAGTCAAGATTTGATGGATGGAAATACAGTAGAAGGCTGTGGGATATAGCCAGTACCTTCAATGGACATGTTCAAGAGTTGCTGAAATAGGTAGTTCTTGCAGTCAGTTTTGTCTGATTTGTGATCTTGTGAAGGATCTTTTAATCCTTCTAAAGTTTTTTTCTATAATAGAAATGGCTTGTTAAACATTAAAATAAGTTTTCTCAGAGTTTAAAAGTGCATTCTCCTTTCAGTATGCATGTTGTAGTTTTTAAACATAGCAATAGGCTGGGTCCTTGCAGTGCAGGCAAAATGTAAGTTACACTTAATTATAAGGGTGAAGCTAGCATCTGTCTTAACACTCAAATAAATACCCAAAGAATGTTCCTCTTTTTAAACTCTGATATGTAGTATGTTACAAATAAAACTAAATACGGTCTGCCCCACATTGTTTACATTTTTAATTACTTAAATTTTTACATGTAATGAAAACCAAAAGGTACAGAAGAAAGATGACAGAACATGAAATGAGTTTTGTAGAAGTCTCTTCAGCTTAAGAAAATGCTGTTGAGGAAGGATAATGTAGAAAGACACAAAATAATAAGGGCATGGAGAAGATGGATGCAGAATGGCTGGTCACTGCTTTATAAAAGAAGTAGGGGTAGCCAACTGAAATTAGCAACGAGCATGTTTAAAACAAGAAGAAACATTTTTCACAGCCAGCTAATGAAGTTGTGGATGATTGGCAGGATGATGCAGGAGCTCAAAGAACTAAGTCTATATGAAAGGCACTAAACTGTTTTATGAGGTTAAGTTAATCAGTGATAATTAAATAGCATTGCCCAGAAGCAGTCCTTAGCTCAGGAAATCTATACCTCACAGCATGTCAGGACCAGGAGGGCATATCTGTGGAAAGGTGGCTCAATTTTTGCTCCATATGCTTAGGCCACTGTGAGACACTTGGCAAATGGACCTTAAGTCTAATTCGTTACGGTATTTCTTAATGTGTTTTTTGCTAAATTACTGTTTTTGTTTGTAACCATGAAGAAAAATAATAGAACGTAAGTTGTTACTTAATTTCTAAACAGTCACTGTGCATCTGTGCCTAATCTGCTAAATACTGCCTAAGGGAAATAAAAGTCAAGTTGTTACCCCCATACCATCATTGTCATGTTTTGCAAAACATAGTAGGGTAATGGCTAGTAATTGTTCCATGTTGTGAAATGAGTTGTCTACACCATTCAGAAAAATAGAATGGAAACTAGAGCACCTGATTTGGACGTGACTGAAACATGGAGCACTCAATTGAGAACTCCTTTCTATCATTGTGAATAGTTTTGATTTTAATGTGTTGTGGAAGATTAAGGACATTTTTGTTCTTCAACAACAGAGTTTTTTACTTAAAGCATACTGAAACACCTTAGGGTTTTACGTATCTACACAACAGTCTTCTCCTTTATCTGAACAAATCCCATATAAATGCAGACAGTAAAAATTAATGCAGTTCCATTTGGATTCCTATTCTGATAGTGCCCCGATGGATGTCTTCCAAAAGTCACCTTTAATGCTAACTGGTGATACAATAATCTTGAGCTCAAGTGTTAAGAAGCTGGAATGTATCAGTTCTCAGGGTCACAGGAGCCATTCAAGCTGTCACCTTTTCAAGTCCATGCATTTCAATCTCAGTTGGGCACCAAGAAGAGACACTTCATTTCATATGGCTGAGAAGTATACCTGATACGTTACTGAAGATATGTCCTGGCTTCTGCTGGGATGGAGTTAGTTTTCTTCCTAGTAGCTGACGTAGTGCTGTGTTTTGGATTTTGTATGAGAATAATGTTGATAACACACTGATGTTTTAGTTGTTGCTAAGTAGCACTGACACTAGTCAAGAACTTTTTCAGCTTCCCATGCTCTGCCAGGTGCACAAGAGAATGGGAGGGGGTACAGCCGAGATAGTTGACCCAAACTGACCCAAGGGCTATTCCATACCATATGACGTCATGCTCAGTATATAAACTGGGGGCAGTTGACCGGGGGGCAGCAATCGCTGCTCGGGAACTGGCTGGGTATTGGTCTGCGGGTGGTTGCATCACTTGGTTTTTTTTCCCCTCAGTTTTGTTCCTCTTCTTGTTGTTTTCCTTTTCAACGTTTTTGGTTGGTTTTTTTTTTTAATTTCAATTATTAAACTGTTCTTATCTCAACCCACAAGTTCTCTTAACTTTTACCCTTCCGATACTCTCCCCCATCCCACAGCAGGGGGGAGTGAGGAAGTGGCTGTGTGGTGCTTAGTTGCCAGCTGGGGTTAAACCATGACAAAATATTACAAATAGCACAGATTAGTCTTGGCTCTTAGGCAAAGTGCACAGGAAGGTCCTTGAGGTGGACAAGTTATAAGTAGATCAATTGAAAGTAACAATGTCACAAGTCATTATTTTCCTTAAGAGTGAGTGAGTGAGTGACTGAGTGACTTTCATCAGAGTAGTTGCCTTGATACCAGGTGTGGATCTTGCCAATATAATTAGAATTAGAATGAAGAAGCAGTTCTTCACAGAAAAAAGATAAATTCAGAAGCGCATGGATTGCTCATTTTGTTATCACCCAGGAGTCAAACTGGCTGAGATGGTTCCTGAGTTTATATTAAGCCTTAAGGCAAACTGATGACTGTAAATTTTAAAAGTATTGCATTCAGATGGTTAAATAAGACATATAGTACTCTGAGAGTTTTGAAATACATGATTGAAAATTGATAATTAGAGAAAAAATAAAAGCATGTGATAGTGGGAGAAATGTGCACTTAAATGCTAGCTCTGTAAAACGCCTACAAATACTGACTAAAAATGTAGTGATCCATCTCTTTTATATCCATTCAGAGCTCTTGCAGCCTACGCTCATTTAGCAGGATCTAAAGCCATTTGTGAACTCCTATTAAAAACATTGAAGGAAAAAAGAATGGAAAAAAAAGAAGGGGGAAAAAGAAAAGGGAAGGAAAAAACCCCCAAAGCTCACCATCCAAACCTTACCTGCCCAGTTTCATGTCTTCTCATTAGAAAATATTTTTCCCAGCATTTAGAGTAGCTGGCATTTGATGCCCCAGAAAAGGAAATGCCTTAAAGTAAATCCTATTTTCTATATATACATTCTTTTCTACTGTATTTGCATGCTAATTTGTTCTGTCTAAAACACAGATAATATAAATTCTGTGTAGCACTTGAAGATGAGCATATTGTGCTTCTCTCTTAGTCTGCTTTTGGGTTTTCCTGGAGAGATGGAGGGAATGGGAATTCAATGTGGGTAAAGAAACTGGATTTACTATTTTCAGAGCATGACTATGCACTTAAGCCCTGGGGATTTGAAATGCCTGTCTGTATGGCCGATCCTGCACATACCATTTGTGATAAAGTATAAGACACAGAAACGTCATGCCCGCAATGGCTTTCCCTATTTTTTCTCCTTTATGTGTCATCAGTGTGGTCCCATGTATCTCTTATCCTCACATTGCAGCAGGAAAGACAAATTATTAAGCAGAAGTATGCAGAACTTCTGAACTCAGGAACTCAACCCCTCAGTGGTACAGTGAGATTCTTATTAGTCATCTCCTTAAATGTAGCATTTAAGTAATAACTGTCCCAAATTGCCAGAGATGTGATCTGCCATAGAAGTGAATTCAAAGAGTGTTCTGAGTACAGTGGATGTTTCAATAACACTGAATGGCTACAGCTATGATTTTCATGTATAGATTTGAATTCTGAGTAAATTGTGTTGGTTTTGAAAAGTAATGTTTCTATTTTGTTAAACACAGGGTAATGCCCATAAAATCTTGGAAAAGTGCAGTTTACCACTTACTGGGAAACAATGTGTAAACCGCATCATTACAGAGAAGGTAAAGTACTTTTCTTGAATCCTTGTTGATACTTTCCTCCTCTATACCTAAGAAGGGATGCTCAGTAAAAGTAATAAAGCTTGGTAAAAATGAAGAATTGGTATTTTGGTATCTGTTGCCAGTGAAGGGCAAAGATTCCCTTGGAGTTCAATGCCAGAGGTCCAGGGGCTCATACTTTTCCTTTTAAAGCTTTCACCGTTGACATCTAGCATACCGGACCCTACTCTTAGACACCTTCAGAGCAAAGATGCCATGCATGAGAAGTATTTAAAGTGTGTATCTCCTTTTTTTTCCCAAAGTGTTCCCAAAAATTTGCTGTGTGAGATGCAAATCCTCAAATACAGCTGTAACCACTGCTTGTTTTTTTTCCCAGCAGAGCAACAACTGTGTAGCATGTATATGTCAGACAATTGGCATCTTCCTTGGTGTATACTACAGACTTTCAGAGAAACACAACCTGTAGCTGTAGCAGGGCTTTAATTCTTTTGTCCTTACCTGATTCCATTTGTGAAGGAATTTACTCTTCAGTGCAAGTACATGTGAGCATCTGATATTGCTGCTACTCAAAGTACATTAGTGGATCTTTTCAGCAAAGGATAAGTGACTTAAGGTTTTTGCTGTAATCATACTCCTTTTATTATTGGTGTTTATATTTTTAAGGGTTTAGGGTAGTCCCCCTGTGAGCCATCTATCATGCTAAGTAGAATGGATCAAAGGTGCTGGTGTAGAATTTGCTTTCTCCTGTTCGTATATTGCTACTGCAAGTTAAAGGGTTTTTTTCTCCATAAAGTAAGGGAAAATAAATCAAAACGTGGAATTTTTTCCAGTCTTCTACTAACTGGCCACATACAAATGTAAGGTACAAAAAAATGAGAGCGAACAAGGACTGATAGAAAGTAAAGAACAAGCAGAAATTTCTCTAAGAGTCACCACTTGTGAGATCTGGTTGCTTTATTAGGAGATGACACAAATGTACAACAGTACTTAGTGTTGCAAATTCTGTTTCCACAGTAGCTTTCTAGTGCGTATGTTCCTTATGCTCAGCTTCTAAGACTTAGAGGAACTATCGTTTTTCAGTCCCATAAATCAGTCTCGTGTGCCCAGAGGACAGCTGAACTTTAGTACACTTCTGTGATGAGCTTAAGACTTCACTTTCATTTCAAGTTCAATCTTCACCAGTCTTTTGCTACTGACCTTTTTTCTTTTTTTAAGGAAAATTACTATAGATCTTCTGGTTTCCCTGGCAACTGGCTTGCAACCTGTGTATCTCCCTCTGCTAGGCACCATTAAAGTGCACATCCTTTTACAAGTGTTTTTATTTGATGCACTTGTGAGCCTTGGAAGTGGAAAGCGTGTCGTGTGAAGACATCAGAAAGAACAAGCTTTGCTCCTTCAGCCACTTCCTTCCAGGCTTTCTGTTAAAAATACAACAAGAAATCTTGTCTTTCAGTGCTAGCTTCTGAAAATACTAAAATTTGCACTGGGTGTACAATAGCTGTTGGAGAAGCTTATAATCTGATGAAGGTGGTCAACCACTTTGTACCTCTCTACTGGCCTTAAAACGAAACAGAAGCATGAGGGAGACATTGTCTTTTCCTGTTTTCCTTCATGATCTCAGCCCTTTCCTTTGGACTGCTCAATTCTCACCAGATGGGAGCAGCAGGCATGGTCCTCATTTCATGCAATGCAGAACAGTTGCACGTTTTTCCCACAAGACTAACACATGTCATGTTTTAGATTCTTTCAGGTACAAATAAATGTAGCAGAAATCTTTATTGGTCAGTCAGAAAAGTGGAAAGTGAAACCAATTGATAATGGCATCTTTTATTACTGAGGGAACACTACCTACTTCAGCATATCATTTTGTACAATATCCCTACTTACATCCTCATTTTCTGCTTTGATAATAAAAAAAATAATTGTGTGCTATTTGAACCTTACAGGCTGTGTTTGATGTGGACAAGAAGAAAGGATTGACCCTTGTGGAAATCTGGGAAGGACTGACAGTGGATGATATCAAGAAAAGCACTGGCTGTGACTTCACAGTAAGTCATTTTACAAACAGGTATCGTTAGTCTGGTGTCAGAACAAATATTCTCCACAAACACTCATCGCATGAAGACTTGTAGACGCAGTAAGTTTCCTCCTTATAGGTGAGGGCTGGGTAGATTATATGTGGGATTTACAGTGAAAACAAGAAGATAATTTAGGGCTAATCTAGTATGATTATATTGGAAGCATTAGAAGCTAGGAAAAACAGAAGAGATGGAGGAATAGCTAAGAGTAAAAGGACAACATGGAAAGGGAACTTTTCTGATCCTTTGAAGAGGGGAGCTGATTCATATCTGAGAGGTGGATGAGTATTTATTTTTCCAGTGTATAAGTAAGTTTATCTAACTCTCTGTTGCTAAGTTTTCATGCTATCTTTAGGTGGTGGTGTGAGTCTTCTCAACAGGGGTGACTACACATGTCCACTCTGTGTTACTAGTGCCAATCAATTAAGTGCTCTACTGTTGATATCTTTGCTTTTTCTCTCCCATTGCCTTGTACAAATGAAACTTATGCTCTACATTAATCCAGAAAGCCACTGCCTTTTGACCTTCACATTCCTTCTTAAGTGTCACTTAATGCTAACGCAAAACTGGCTTATTAATGGAAAGCTGTAGCACACTAGATTGTAACTGATTCCATATGTGTGGTTGATAACATACAGTTTCTTTATGGCCTTCTACATGCACATTATGAAATTTCTTCTTCTGTGTTGTGAAGTCTTTTGGGGCAGGTCAGCCCTCCTTTGGCAAGGACAGCGGGTATGACAGTATACTAGTTGGGGATGAAGTGCAATATTCTTCCTCTTTGCAGAGTTTCATGGCAGGGCTAGAGCACATGATTGAGAGATTGCAGAGCACTTAGTATGTGAAAGAGTTTGCTATTAAGGCTTTGAGCATACTATTGGCAGTAAGTAAAACTTTCTGAGCAATGAGCCTGTAGAATTTCATTCATTTCCTGTGTCCATAAGAGAGCATTTCTGATAACTAAATAAGATAGGTTATCTTTTTATTGTGGCATTTTAAATATTTTAAATAAAGAGCTGTTCACTTCTGAACACCATACATTCGTTTGTCTGAGAAAAATTGTTCAGTTAAAGACAAGTGACGTCCAACTGCAGACTGCAGGAAACTGCCACAAAATCACTTTGCTCCATTATTAATTTCCATGTAACATTTTATGGAAGTCATTATTGTTTTTTAATTTACAGTGGAAGCAGCCTTCCATATTCAGCAATTCTGTGTGCAAAGGAAATTACTCATTCAGCTTCTGACTGTGATTTAGGAAAAAATTATCAAATTTTTAAAACTTCGATAACGTCAGGAATTCTTCTCTTTGGCTGATCAGCCTGTCAAACAAAAAAATGACGTTGTAGGTTTGTATCTATTGCAGTCAGTCACTTTGTTTTGTTCTTGCATATTTAATTTGGGGACTAACTTCATGATGAATTTGCAGGTGCCATGTTTAGTAACATTTAAATAGACTGAAACTACAGGAAAGGACTTCCGTTGTCAGAAGGCACCAGTCCTTATGTGTTCCAAACCTGCTTGTTTGGAAAGAGTTGGTTTCTTTTTGATTAGGTGACTATATATGTATTTAATGGAGTGTGTGTTACCCAAAGTAAAGTCCAGCAGTCTGTGTTCAAGGCAATGAAAGCAGAAGCAACCAAAGTATTCAGAGAATCACAGAATCATAGAATCGCTTAGGTTGGAAAAG